AGCCAATTGGAATTGCGAACCAAAGAAAAAATCCGCTGCAAAAAAATCCCGAAGCCGCCCGGCAGTGTGGCGGACCCTGGAAGCGATTGAGCTACGAAAAAAAGGCAGCGGCCCCCTATGGCTAAGGCTGGTTCCTTAAGCGCCTCCGACAAGCGCCTCAACCGGAAATATTTGCCAGCATTTTTTTGAGTGCGGGAATAATTTTCGGGCGAATATTCTAAAATAAGATGAAAAAGCGCGCACGCAGTTCATACCATGTGGGAACCGAACTGCGTGAGGGGCTCTGGACATGCCCACGCAGTTCCGCGATGAGTTCTTGTTGCGGGGATATCTGAGCGAGCTGATGTAAAGACCCCCCCATTAAAAAAGAGAGAGCCTTTAAAGTATATCCCCTCTTTAATGAGAAGCGTCCTCGCATCAGCTCACCCAGATAGCCCCACGAGAAGAACTCATCGCGGAACTGTGTAAGCATGTCCAGAGCCTCTTACGCAGTTCGATTCCCGGATGTTATGAACTGCGCGCGCCATTTTTCATCTTATTTCAAAATATTCACCCGAAAACTATTACCGCACTCAAAAAATATTCGCAAACATATGGCAGGTCTTTGCTCCAGTTTGGTCGGTCTGTGTTCTTCTGGCTTGGCTGCTCTTGTGTTCTACGTCTTCGCATGTGCTCCCCTCGTGTGCTCCTGCCGTATGTCTAAGCTCTGGGCCGTGGCGCGTCGTCCCTCTGGCGGCCACGGCCGCCAGGGACGAGGGGGCAGGGGGTTGCCTTGCTGGGCTGTTCGCGCTGGCTTACGCGGCGCCCACCACGCGCCCACCAGCGCAGCGTGGCGCGTCGTCCCTCTGGCGCCCATAGGCCGCCAGGGATGAGGAGGCAGGGGGCTGCCTTGCGGGGCTGTTCGCGCTGGATTATGCGGCGCACACCACGCGCCCACCAGCGCAGCGTGGCGCGTCGTCCCCCTGGCGGCCGTGGCCGCCAGGGACGAGGGGGCAATGCGTGACCATCTCGCCCCCCGCCCCCCTTGTACAAGGTTAAATGTTTGCGCGACTGTGAATCCCTATAACGAGCCTGCGCCAAAGAGTGCGCCTCCGGACTGTGCCCAACCATGTAACCTTGTACAANTTTTGGACTGTCCACCGTGGAACCTTCGCGATTGCAATTGCCAGCGGGACGTATCAACGAATGAGCAACGCCTGAGTGACGAGAGAGTACACAAGAAGAGAGCAAGGAGGGTGTTGATGCTGAGAATTTTCACTTGATCCAATTTTTATGCTGTGTCACCATGAGAGACTTTTCCTAATCCATGACAATAGATTATAAGCTTACGCATCTTAAGTTTCCTTCCGTCATAATCTCTGAATAGTCATTTTCTGCTTCTGAATAAATGCCTTCCGTTTAGATCGACTGCCACCCGACCGTTCATCATCGCTTACTCCCCACACCCCAAGGAGAATCCCCGACGCGTACACACCCCCCGTTTTTTTCTCCCTTGAGGATTCTCCTGTGGGCGCGGGAGGACCCCGAGAACGAACGTTCATCTCCGAGCGACGTGCAGGTGAGGATGATGGGTGACCATTTCAAGGTGACAAAGGATGAGGCGAACGCCGTCCGCTTGCAAGTTCATCGTTTGTCGATGAAAATTGGTCACATGGGGCGTTCTCTGCAGCAGGTGGAGTCCTTGATTGAGGACTTGAAGACAAGCCAGCAAGAGTTGGTTGAAGAAGCAGACGATATTATGCATTTTGTGAACAAGAAATTCAAGAGCACCGCAGCGGCTATCGCAGGTATGGAATATATTTAATGTGTGAAATATTAAGTACTTGCAAGCTTGTTTTTGTAATTTCAACTTTTAACGCTCATTTAGTAACTGCAGCTCCGTGTCTATAACTTCCCTGAATACTGGAAATTTTTGTTTATCTGAAATATTCTAGGTCCTGATGCTGGCGATGATGGGAGTCAAGGTGGGGGAGGTGGCATGAAACGCGCATCTGAGGACTCAGCGTCGCATGCTACAAAGCGCCTTATTTCTCAGCAAATGAATGGATTGAGCTCGACGCAGCAGAGCGGTAATCCTTATGTTTATATAGGTATTTGGATTTTTGATATGTGAGGTTGAAGTTTTAGTCAAGATTGTAGCATTTAGAATTGCAAACTTGAATTCCCTTACGTGTAACTAAAAGTGTTTACCTATTAAACAATTTTCAGTCTGGGGGAGCCAGCCCGATGAGGTCATGGGAGGTGGAGGCTCTTCTCAAGGCTCTGGCGCTGGAATCAATGGTGGATCAGCGAGCTCCGGCTATAGCGGTGGTTCTGCGCGCTGGTTGGGCAAGCGTCCAGCAGCAACAGGGTCCTGTGGTGCTGGGATCACACCGGCGTTTGGTGCTTGCGGTTCTACGAGTGCTGGATTTGGGTCTACCTCCAGTTCAGTCAACAACCAGTGGGGTGGCGGGTTGCCAGGCACTGGAGGAGCAGGCATTGGTGCGGCAGGCTCTGGCAACCAGAACCAGTTGGCGTGGGGTGAGGTTTGGCAGGGAAGTGTTGCAACTATCATGGAGTGCCCGTTGCCAGAGATGCCGATGCCGCAGGCAGAGACAGAAGGTAGACATATCTTTAGATATGCAGTTTGATTTTGACTAGGATATTCTGAATACGTCAGTTATGAATTCCTTCATATGAGTTATTTTTATCGTTGATACGATACGTTTTCTCTACTCCAGGTATGTTTCAGCGAAACGAAGGGACTTTTTTGGCAGAGCGGCGAATGAAGCAAGATGCAGAGGATTCGGTAAAGGCGGCTGAGTGGCGTCGCAAATTGCTGCTTCGCTCTGTCCGCAACCACTACATTCGCCAATGCGGTAATTTGGAGGAGCTACAGACGGCTGGTCTGATCAGTACCTGGGAGCTGAACTTCATGAAGGGCATCGATCAGCGCGGCGATTTAAGCGAAAAACAGGACAAGTTCCTCTGGAAGGTGTTCTTCATGGTCCTCGGAGCCGGCATCTCGAAGCCGCCATGGGTCGACCTTCCGACGACACAGGCGGATCCGTACCGCCGATAGAGGAAAATGAGCGAATTTAGTGGGAAGTGTTAGTAAATGAAGAAAATGAATTATCTCATATGTTGGATCTCTCGATGCATTTTAGAAAAATCAATTTGAAAATCTTTCAATCATGAAAATTTTTTCCTACCCACTGTGTGGTTGTATACTCGTGACAGGAAGAGAGAGGCTTGCTATTTGAGCAAGCATTTGTTGTATCTGTTTATGAAAATCATGATGTCCTGTATGAGAAATATAACTTGAGTTATATTGAATGAGAGCTTTTTTTTTACCTCTGTTGAGGGCAGATTTCTGATATTCAGACATCGAGGGACTTTAGTAACGAGGAGTGAGTCTGGACAAAGCTTGTGAGCGCATTCATGCATAATTGTGGAATAAATGCAACTGCGTGATGTTTGATTTCCTTCACAGGACGTGGATTTGTCATTCTACCTACCCTCGCTTTTCCTGCAAGTGGAGAATTTCATTCTCTGCCAGGTATTTTATGGTAGTTCAGGTTTTCTACGAAGCACGTTCAGATAAGACAGCACGAACAGATAAGAGAGTAAATCGTGAGGAAAGTTGTTCCTGGATTTTGAGAAAAGTGCACAGGAACTCGAAAAGGGTGGTAAAGAACGTGGTTTGACGCCAGGATCGTGAATAGGATAGGATTTGAAAGTATAAGAAAAAAAGTATTCGTTGGTCTATAAAAAATAGTATTCGTTGGTCTATACTTTGTTTAGTGACGTCACATATTTTTTCTGAGTCTGCTTCTTGCAAGAAAAATGCCACGTCATTTCCGCAACATCGAGCTTCGCAAAGAGCTCAAGAAGCGCTTGGGTAAGCTGAAGAGCTGCAACACGAAGTACAATACGCTTGTGCCGCGCATCGCTAATGGCCGTGCCTCTCGTGCGCAGGCTGATCGCTTAGGCGAGCTGATCGACGAAGGGAAGTTCCAGGCTCGTAAGGTGCTGAATTGCGGTCTGAAAATCATGAAGATTGAGGGGAATCTGATGATGAATCAGCAGAACTTTGGAGCCTTATTGGGTGGCAACAACAACAGTATTGCGGCTGGTGTTAACAACAACAACCAGGGTGGATTTTGGGATGGTGTGTTGGCTCAGGCTGATCCGGCTCTGCAGCAGCTTTTGGGCTACACGGGCCCGGCGAATGGTGCTCCTGCTGTCGCTGCTCCCGGAGGTGGAGCTGTTCCTGGAGGTGGAGCAGTTCCTGGAGGTGGAGCTGTTCCTGCAGGGGCAGCTGCTCTTGGCGGTGGTGTTGCAGCTGCTGGGAATTTATCTGCTGAATCTGCAGAGGAAATTGGTCCGGGTGACTCCACTCCGGATTTGTGAGCTGTTGCTGTGTGATGCAGCGACGTTTACTCTGTTTTTGGCTAGAAGGGTGTAGCAGCGGGATATGTGAGGAGCTGAAGCAATTTGCCGTTAAGGCTGGAGCAAGTCGAATTGCGAGCAGAGAAAGCAACTTGAGTCGTTTCTACTTGTCTAAAGCACATAAAGATAATTGATTATGGATACGTCCATCGTGCGGGGGAAGTACTACACGTGGCTATCTGTTGAGGATATATGGTTCTGTTTAGGAAGTATGTGAGGGATCTCAATGCATTTGAGGAGGCTTTGCATTGGTATGGCGCGGAGACCTATTTCGTCAGAAAAATATACTGTGAAGATTTTTTATGCCGGCTGTTTCACATTGACGGATTTGCAATCTGCGAGAAAATATATGATTTTGCCTTCTTTCAGTGGAGCTTGTGCTGGTGATGTTCTAATTGAAATGATTTGAACTACGATGATATGTATAATGCTGAACGACTTCGCCGATTCACGAAACAAATCGAACGTGTCCAGGTGTAGTCGCTTTTTTGGTTCCTACCCCTTTTACAAGTTAAGGCAGTAAAATTGTTTCCTATGATTATTTTTGGATGTTCATAACGAGGATAATTATTGAGTTTGTTTTCTGCAATCCTTACGTCTCTGTGCCTACGACATTTATGCTTTTTTGATGATCAGTGAAGATGACATCGTCCTTCCTAGGCTCCGTCACTTGCTGCAAATGCAAGTCGTATAGGGAAGTTTTGGGTGCGGAGACGAAGGCAGGCCAAGCACTTTTTACTCAATGGAGGAGTTTTGAATGCAGACATGTGGGACTGGTATTCATCATGACAGATTTATATATAATTTATTTCTCTTCGGTATCATATTAATTCAGTTCTCGTATTCCCAGTCTTTGAAATTTTTTCATCTTCGATCTATCTCTTACTCATTCCACAGGCATGTGGATCTTTACAGCCTGCTGGAAAAGCACGCGTGGTAAAGCGTCACGAATCATCAGCAATTATCGCGTGTGGGAATGTGGTGGCGAAGCATTACTTCGGAGCGGTAACGGCTCTTCCCGCAGACGATTTGATGGAACTGGGTGGACCACTTCGTTCAGTTCTGCCACGCAGCGGCAACCCCGAAAAAAAAAACCGAGTGTTCGCTAAGAAGAGCCAGGAGGCTTTGGATCAGTATCTGAATAATCAACTTCCTCGAGCGAAGGATACGCCAGCGGCTGGACCGGCTAGCACGTGGAGCGCGG